GGGCTCTTTGCAGCCTGCTCCTTGCTGTGCTGGGTGTGCAAACGTTTTGAAAGAGGCAGGTTGGGGCCTGCATGGAAGCCTCTTCTACCTTTTATGATTGGAACAGCTTGTGAGGAGAAGCTGTCATTTTTTCCCAGGGCGTGTGGAACCAGTTTCACTGGTATAGCGTGCTGCTGAGCCAAAGCCTATCATGAAAGGGACTGTGACGTACCTGTGTGTGGTGCTCCTGATTTGCAGGAAGGGCGTGCACTGCAAGCTTGCAGCCTTTAGGTACTGTTTCAGCCATCTGCAGAGCCACCTATTTTTCTCCAAGGGCTGTCCCCATGCAGAATCATGGGATGCCAGCCATTAACAGTTTAAAGCACTGTTATAGAGATGCCACTCGACTCTGACTTCCAGAAGGAAGATTTTTCATTTCATTGCTGTTTTTTTTTTTTTTTCTCAGTTGTTGTCACAAATGGGACCTCTAATGCCTCTGCTTCTCTGGGATATTTCTCAGGATGGTATTGCTGGCTTTCCTGATTTTATCGTGTCCTCTGGCATTTGGTGTTTTTCCTTAAACTGCAAGTTCTTTGCATCTTCTGAAAGCAGTATTCTTGGATTGCACAAAATATGGTTCTAATTCTGGTGATGAAAAAAGATTGAACTTGCTGGAGAAAAATAAACTTACAAACAAATCTGTTTCCATCCTTTCATTTCCTAAAGATTTTGTCTGGAAGAGTGACTCCCAATCATTTTAAACCCTTGCCATCAGCAGTGCTGCAGTAGCCACTGCAAACAGCTCTCTCAAGTGGTTAAATAGAGAGTTAGACAAGTTGGGCTACCCCTCCTCACTGTGACTCTGTGTGGGCAGTGACAGCTTCTCTAGGCTCTGCTTATGAAGGTATTTCCTTTGTGACTGTTGTATGTCTTTGAGGACACAGAGAAAACCCAAATCTTTTTGGCAAGATCCTTACGAAACTTGCAGTCCTGTAAATTAAGTTTCAACTTAAAGTTGCCTTTACAGTTGAGGACTAAAATATTTGGGGCTTTTGACTTGCCAGAATCTTGCTTGCAAATGATTTTTACTGAGCTGTTCTTCAAAAAAGTTTTGAAAGCCTGTAACTTCAGTGTAGTCAAGTAAAGTTGGTCTGGATCACAGGCGTGCCATGATAAAACAAGGCTGTACAACTTACAGGAAAAGAAGTTTCTTCATCTTGCTATGATCCATGTCCTCTTTTCCACTCCCTTCTGGTATTGCTAACATGCCAGGCTTGCCAGGAGGAATTAATGGGTATGGGCTCAACCCCGAAACTGAAGGGTTGTTGGAAACCACCTTCCATTTCATTCTGTGAGCTGTTTTTGGTGCTCCACTCTGTCAACATTCTATTAGTAAGAAATTACTCAGAATTTTGGGGATGATTAAAAATGTGCAAAAACTTTTGAGTAGTGTTTACTTGTTAAGAAAATAAATGAAGGTATGTTTGGAGCAATTGGAAGCAGTCCAGCTTTGGGCCAAAAGCTGGAATGCTGTATTCCACTTTAAATTCACCCTCTCTTGGCTCAAAAACTTCAGCATGTTAATTTGCTTAATTCTTCAGTTCTTGTGAAAAGAACTGTATGTGTGTTTCAGACAGTAAGCCAAGTATTTCACAGTCCTGCATAGAAAATCACTTTTTCGCTGATACAAAAGTGGACTGACACCAAAATTTTATGAATGCTTATGTACATGCACAAAGTGTGGTGCACCCTGCTCATGCAGATATGATGACATAAATGCATGTCTGCAGCTTTACATCCTCTAGCTTTCTTGTCTTGCTGCTTTCATGCAGCTCTGTATATGAAACTGGAAAATACAATAGAAGCAGCTTGAGAAACATATATAGGTCTATTCCTTCTTGCTACCTTCATTCTCATCAAATGTTTTTCTACACATCAATTGGAATTTTCAAGGTAGGGATGGCAGAGAAGAATAAAATCAATGAAAGCTGAGGTGTTTATTTTTTGCCATGTAAATGCTGCACTGAGGAGATATCAGTGTCTGTACAAGAAGTCCAGAACAAATATTGCCCTGTACTGATGGGTTGTTCGAAAATATCAGCATGCCCAAAACAGTTTTTCCCTATTGCTGTTTGTTTCCCCCAGATAAACAAATTTCACAATGGTTGACAACCCATCCCCAAAGCCTCCAGGCTGCTCTACTTGCTTTAGCTGTAAGTATGTGTGCAGCTTACGGGGTGGGATAATGCCATGATCCGTGTGCTGTGTTTGAAAATACTGTGGCTGTGCTTCTCAGTGGCTGCTGGAACATCAATGTGGTGATAAGTCCAGGGCTGGATGCTGAGTGCTGTGCCAGCTGCAGGGATTTCCAAAGGAGACTGGTGCTACTGGTATATGTCTAAGGTACCCACATGCCCCTTGGCTGAACAGGGTGTGCAAATTGTGCAGTTGTCTTCCTATTCTTGTAAGCCTGTGTAACAGGAAAATCATACATTCTTAAGCATAAAACAAGAAAATGAGACAGCATAAATAAACTTGTGTTTCAGTTCCGTATCTGTGTGAAACTGAAGAAATATCAGCCAACGAGGTGTTGTGTTCTAAAGCATAAATATTTAATTGCCACTCTAAGGATAGACTGGTAAGGGAGGATGGAAAAAGTTAACCACACACTTATTTTGCTTGTGGGCAAAAGTCCAGCAGATCTTTCACGAGAGGGATAATTATGATACGATGGTGCAGAAACGCATGTGGTAGCACATGTGGATGCTGACCTGGCAGCTCCTGCCAGTGGTGATAGGGCTGGTGCGATGCACAGAGTCATGTTTTCTGCTGGGAAGGTGTTGGAGGAAGGCCTGAGGGAATGGGATGGAGGTAGGAGGGGCAGGCCCAATTGCAGACCCTCAAGTTCTACATCATTAAGCATTTTGGAGAAATAATGGATGCTGGTGAAGGACTGGGGCAGTGGGTGACTGGTCTGAGTCTTTGAGCATCTTCTCTCCCCTCTCACCAAAGTCTGCTCTGGCAAAACACCTGATGGAAAGTGATATAATTTGCAGTCAGATAAGGACATGCATATTAATGTAGGCTGCAGGAGAGGGAGGAAGGAGGACTAGTGCAGGAAACGTTACGTTATGCGGAGAAACAGGCTCCTTGGCCACTTTAATTGGCCTTTTCGTTGCAGCTCTGTTTCTGGCTTTCACCAAGGGATTTTATATGGATGGAGATTTTTTTTGTCCTTCTTAAATTATTTATTTATTTATTTATTTACTTTTCCTTCCTCAGAAGCGAGCAGTATGGTGGGAGAGCTGCAGAGGACACAGCCCTGGCAGCACCATGATGATCAAAGCTGAAGGGAGGGCAGTGATGTCAGGGGCTCATAGCAAAGCTGCTGGGCGATGCAGCCTGGCTGCATGCAGAAGGATGACAGGCAGTGGAGGAGATATAGGGGTGTCGAAGGAACAATAGGGTGCAAAGATGCCTTTGCCTCACCTTTGAATGTGTTCTCAACCCTTTTAAAAAAAAGTATCGTGCCTAAGCAATAGGTATACCTACCTGTAACTACAGAAACACGTTTTGAATTGCTGAAATTACAACAAAGGGGCATGTTTTACATGCAAAACTTGTGCATGTGTTTTTGGTAGCGTATGCCTTTTATTTCATTCAAAAGAAAGGCCTGTGAAGACTAGGAAAAGAAGAGGATACTGTCTCTTTATGAATACTAATAAGGAAATCAAGGGGGACAATGGCACTTCAAGTTTCATCTTTCCATTTCCTAGAGGCGCAAACTCTGCAAGTTGTCACCTTGGTGTATTCAGTGCCTCTTGAAGCACTAGACTCCTCCAGAGAGAATGTCAGCCCCAGCCCTGGGCAGTTTTGACAAACAGAGTATATATTGATACATGATAAAGTATGCTAGAAATCACCCCAGCGCTAAAGGCTACTATAGTTTTAATATCATCATTTGAATTAACAAGCATTCTGTGGAGAAATAATGAGCTTTCATTATTCAGAACATCATCCTTACCCCGGGAACTCAGAAACCATTAGCTCTTGAGAACTTAATGAAAAGATGATAAAGAATGTTTTAGATAAAAGTTTGAACGGGTGCACTTGGTAACTAAGGTAAAATATTAATGTTTCTCTCGGTGATGAATCGGTGTTGCTAAACTCGTGCTGTGGGAGGAGGCGGAGGGGCGGGCAGGTGTTCCCATGCATGAGGTGGTGGGCAGGACAGAGGATGCTCCCTGGGCACCAGGCTGTTGTTAGTGGCATGCCGAAGGGATTCCCGGCTTTGCCAACGACTCGTGGCATTGCTGTGAGAGCAGAAGGGGGTGGAAGGACCAAAACAAAACGGGGAAAAAACATTATAAAGTAAAACAAAACATCTTTCTCTGAAGCCACTGACCAGGCGCTCCGTTTGGGCAGATTGGAATGTGGTTGCCACTTTGTGAAATTCCATATGGGTGGCTTGCTATGTGTCTGCAATAAAAACCCTCGGTGCAATAAACGAAGAAAAAAAATATATAAAAGTTTAAATTTTATTGGGTGTAAAGCTCTTAAAGAACTGCTGCTCTCAAAGAGTATAAAGATTGCTGAGTCTCAGCGTAGTACCCCGACTGAAACGTGTTAGTCCTGCTGTTTTCTTCCTTTAACTGTAGCAATTTGCTTTCTTGCTGTTCGTTAATCCTCATGAGTGCAGGGGGAGGCAGCCGGGCCTCACCTGCGGGCGATGGGAGCGGGTGGCTGTCCTGCCTGGGCAGAGGTGGTCTGGGGACCCCTGGGTTTGAACTGCAGTTGGAGAATTGTCAGCAGCGGCCAGGAATGGGGGGAGAAGAAAGGGAACAAATAGGAATAAACTATCACATAAACAGTCTTAAGTCACGGTGCTTGCCGCTAACAGATGCAGTTAGGTAAATGCTGTTACCTCAAGAGGTGTTATCTTCTGGGGATCCTTATCATAATTTTGTTTTAAATCCGAACAGCTGTTGTTTAACTACCACAGACCACAATTTATCTACAGCTTGAGGCCATAAAGGTACCTTTATTACACTCTCTCCTTTTTTTTTTTTCCATTTGATTTAATTTCAGTGTGTCTGACACCAAAATGCTATATACAATTTGCATATTACAATATGCACTACTGCAGATTCCATGCGCTGCTAAATGGGAAAATCGGAGAGGGATGGTAAATGGGTAAAGCTTGCAGTGACAAATAAAAGAGGAAGACGAGCTCCCATGTTTCATTTACATGTAAAATATTCTGACAATAGTTGTTTCTCCAAGAACAAAGAGCTGGTTTTTCTAGGGTGACTGGTTTATGATGGCTGCAAGAAAAAAAAAAAAAAAAGGATGTTTTTTCTGGCACCGGAACAGAAGCATGCTTATCTGAATTGAGCCCTGGGGCTTGCCATATAATTGGAATAAAACTTAAGTCTTACTTAAGAAACCAACAAATATGGAAGCAGCAACCATATCCAAAAGGAGCAGCCACTGTGCGTGAAGACTGAAAATCACCTTTCTGCAGGCAGTGTCCTGTCTGAAGTTGGAATCTTGAAAAGAAGCAATTGTGGCAAAATGTAGCTTTGTTTGGGGCATCTGGTGTTTTGCAGTGGATTTCTAAAACTTATTATCAGATGATGAGGGAAAGGCATAACAGCCTTTCTGTCGTGTGTGGTGTGCATGGGCAGTTGCGGCTCTTAGAGGGTATCCTTCAAATTTCTGCAGTTCCATGCCCAACAAACCAGGGAGGGTATCTTCCAAACCCAGTTTACAGCTTCCAGTCATGCAAGGAAATTCGTCTGCATATACTTGAGTTTCTCACAATTGCAATGCAGGAAATGCTTATTGCCTCTCCATGTACTTCCCTTTGCCCTCAGGGAACAGGGAGACCTTTGCCTATGGAGTTGTTCATCCAGCAGCTCCTACTGATGCACAAACAGTGCTGAGAAATACTCCCCAAATGAAAAGTTGGGAGAGAGAATTTGGATAGACCTTTACTCTTAACCCCCAAACCCCCAGCGTTCTACTTCATATTAGTTTTTGTTCAGAATAAATAATAGTAATGACAACAGAATTAATTATGTGTATAACAGCTTGATGACAAAATATAACTCACCACCTGTGCTATCCTTCATCCTAGGTGGGAATATGAAGGCTGAACATGTCTCTGGGACTTGGGAGTGGGGCCTATGTTTTGAACTGTTTTTTTTAAACACAGTATACATAATCTGTTGGCACTTATTAAAAAAAAAATATACCATAACCCAGGGAAAAAGTTGACCTTTCATATTATGACATCCATCGAGTAACATGAGACTGTTTAGCTTGGCTTCTCAAGGGCAAGCATGGAGGAAACCACCTGGTGGGGTGGAAGTAGGCAGTGGATGCATGACTGCTTAATGACCACTTCTCAGTGCAGTTCTTGGGCGCTGCTGCTGATCAGCCTGGCTTCATCTCCTTGACACAGTGCTTAATAATAGTATGGGCAGAGTGGACATACTATGCAGATTTTATTCATTTCCTTCGATCCCCCTCAGATATGTCCTTGTTAATCTGTTTGTTTCCTTGTTTTGAAAACTGGAGAAATCAGGAAGGGACTGCAAAGAATCACCAAAACACTGTGTTAATGTAGCAGTGGAGTTTGCAGCATGGAGCACTTCTCCTTGCAGATGTTACGCAGTGCTTAATGTCTTAAAATAATGAATGGTAGTGGGACATTTTAAAGGATGTGAGGGTATGTAATGGTGGCTAGTGTCTCTTGAATAGTATTGCTCCTGAAAATACAAATACACAAAATATATTGTCTAGAATTACAGGGCAGGAGCAAATAAACAGTTAATTGACTGTTCTGTAATTAATTCTACATGTGTGAAGTGCGATACTTACAGGACTTGCCAAAGTGACATACACACTTCAGAGTCATCTGCTGGTACCTTTTCAGGTGTGGAGGATTTTGGTAGTCTCTGTAACTCTGGAGAGTAATGAAATTGTTTTAATTTATTCCTGATCTGCTGTTTTTAAAACTGTTCGTTTTTTTCCTACCCTCTTTTTTGAAACAAAATCTTTTTCATTGTCTCATAGTCCAGAGGAAAAAATAGTACAGCTGCTGTTTGGAAGCTCTATTATTCTTTGATACAGTGGAATTCTTTTCAGTTGCTTCTTGTCTGATTGGAATGGTTTATGCTTCTTGCTGTGTATTAATCTTAAGCACAGGGTGTGACAGTAACATAGCCCAGTGGGCTGCAGACTGAGTGAAGGTACAGATATGTACAGAGACATAGATGAGTCCTTTGACTATCTGGCACCTGATTTTCCCCACCTTTAACAGCATATGCTGTAATTCCATAAACCCAGTGAAATGCTTGTTGCCATCATGCTGGGTAAGTAGCTCAAAACTCAGAGCTGCACATGTAGGAATATGGATGAGATCCTTCAAAATGAGTCCCGGCAACAGTAAATTCTTGACCTGGCTCTGTCTCATGGTTTCAGCAGTCCCCAAAGCTGTGGATCTCTGGACTTCATCCAAGTCTCTGAAGTCAGCCGTAATCTTTTCCAGTGCTGCCACAAAAGGCATCTGTAGTTTGGTGACACAACAGGAGTGTTTCAGACTGCTGAAACCAGGCTTGGGAAAGGAGCTCAGGGGAACCTGTGTGTGCACAAGGTGTGTGTATGTTCTCCAAGTATGCAGCTTGTGCTACGTGGATGTGGAGGTCATCGGGAAGCTTTATAATATGGACTTTGGAATCTCCAAAATGTCATTTGTATTTTACCTTATTAAATATGGAGATCATGTCAAAGGTAAATGTTAAGGGTCTATAAAATTACCCTTCTTATCTCCTGTATGTTTATCAGTTGATAAATGGAAGAAAGCTAGTGCCAAAATAACTGTGAATGAATAATTTATAAATGACTAATGCATCGTGTGTGTTGTTTCAGGCAGAAAACAGTGGGACATCAATAATCAAAAGAAGTTGGATTAATTTAGCAGTATTTTGCAGTTAATATTGTTATCTAAATGCTGCAGTCTGAACCTTTGTCATCAGGAGATCCTTCTTTTTGTCGCTAAAAACTGATCCACAGATCACTGAAATCAATAGAAGTCAGCTGTTGACTTCATCAGGCTGTGAATCAAATCTATAATATGCATATCTAGCTCTTCTATTTCTTACTGCTTACATAGATTCTTGATTTTGAATTTCTTTAGTGTTGTTCCATGGGATGGAAGTTGGCTCATCATTTTCCTCCATCCCCGCGTGCCTGTGGGTTGAGTGTCCGTGGCACAAAATTTGGTGAACTTAATGGAACAAGGATGGGGGAAATGTGACTGATGAAAGAAATAAAAATCTGCTCTCATGTTTTGGATACTTGTGTTTCTGATTTATACAAGTGAAACTGATTTCTTGCAACCTATGTAAGACAGGCTTTTTTTTTTTTTGCTTTTTTTTTTTTTTTTTTTTCCCCAGCATGTATTTTTCACATTCCTACTCCCCAGTAGATAACATTTGACAGATTTTCAGCGCTGGCCGCTGCGAATAAGGTTAAGCACTGAAGAAGTGAACTAGATTTTCTTCCTATTCCCTTCCATGTGATTTAAATATGGCCCATTTTGCCATCACATGACAGAGCTGCCAGAGATTGCCTCAAGGTAGTTTATGGCTTTAACTAAAGGTCATCTTATGGGGGGGAGGAGGGAGAATCCTGTGGAGTAGGGGGAGGGGACAAATGTATTTTTAAAATACATGCATTAAAAACAAAAGCTATTAATCATTCATTCGGGTGATACGAATGCAAAAGTGAAGCTGACTTTGTATCTGAGTGAATCACTTAGGGGAAAGAAAGCCACCAATAACAATAAATGCTCTTCTTCTCTCCCTCCCTCCCTCCCTCCCTCCCTCCTTCCCCACAGCACGGTACCTCACGAAGGAAAGGTGTGTGGAGTGGTTGCCTTGATTTCGGTCTGCGGCTTTCGGTGCCTGACCTACATATCTGGCTAGCAGCTCACCGCTGCAGAAAATGCCCTCCTGCAAAACTTCTATCCCACTGGCTGCTAATAAGAGCAATTCTCACGTAGCACTGCATCCATCCCAACAATGTAATTGGTCTGGCTCTCCCAGCCGGGATCCGTTCCTCCTGCAGGCCCACGCTGCGCAGAGAAATCCCAGACCTCCCGAGGGCTGAGGGGCTCTGAAACCGTGCTATGTTATCAACAGCTACATGGTTAGCTAACTGCTGTGACTAAATGGAGATTGGGAAGCACTGCAGGCGAGGGATGAAAAGTGATGCCCTCCCATAGCACAAGGCTGATAATGCAGAATTGGCCAAAACAACGAAACTTCACAGACAGCGCAGCAGAAGGCTTTGGCTCTCTTGTTTGGGCATTTTATTACCTGGAGCAAAATGTGCAGAGAAGGGAGATAATGAAGTACTTGACTAATTCAGTGTGATCCAGCTGGCTAAGCCAGAGGGCCTGCAGAGCAGGAAAAGCTACAGAACTCACTGCTAGCCATTTTCCCTTGGTACCTGTGAAGCCAAAACAAAGAAGTGCAGAGATAAAAAAAAAAACCTGAGCAATATCAATATCGGGAAAGGGGGAGAGGGACAACAAAAAGGGAGGAGAAACCACTAAACTTCCCCTTCCTCTCCCTTCTGCTCTTTATCTAATAGGGGGAAAAATGTTACTTTCATTGCTTCGTGACATCTTCTGATTCCCTTGAGAAATTCACTGAATTCCCAAATGTTTAGCACCCTGTTTGCTGCAATGCTCAATGCCAACTTGATTTTTTTTTATTTATTTTTAATTTAACTATTATGTACCTTTTGTGTTCAGGAAAAAGACAGACAGACGCATTGTAGTGCCTTCACAAATCCGTGTTCACCCCATGGCCTAAAAGGCTAGATTCTTACCCACGGGGAGACTAGAAAATGTAAAAAGTGTACATTCCCCTCCCCAGCTTCTAGCCACTGGTGCATTTTCACCACTGCACTTTTTTTCTCTGACAGCCTGGCTATTTAAGCAGACGAGATGCATTGCTCCCTCTCTGCCCTTCCCTTCCTGCTCCCTGCCATCCTCCCTGTGCAGTTCCAGCTGCCCTAGCAAGCTGTTCCCAGAACCGGAGCGTGACGCTAGCAAGAAGCTGGCAGAGAGTCAAAGGTGGCTACTATGCTTATTTGAATATCCAAGGCCAAACTTTGTACCTGATGTAAGGCGGCAGCGATGCTGGGAGAGGAAATAGAGAAATACCCACCTTTGTGCAGGCAGAATTTAGCCCATGCTGCTCGTCGTGGCTGCCAGGGAATGAATCACTGCTGACCAGCCCGCCTGCCAGCCGCTGCTCACACCATTTTTTTTAACAGGCGGCAGCAGACACTGCGCATCACTGCGAGATGAGCATCACAAACATGCTTTGCAGGGAAGGCGACCACAGCAGACTGCCAATGCTCTACCAGTGCCAATTATAGCGACGGTTTAATCGTTAAATCTGCTTCATGAAAACGGGATCAGAGCCAAAGTGTTTGTGATTTGGAGGCTTGTACTAACTTTTGGTAGTTACCATCAGGGGCAGCTGATGTGACATCACCCTACAACTCTATGTGACTCTTATTTTTAATGGCCCACATGCCTCTACATGATAATTTTGCTGCTGGTGTTTGCTTGGCATTAGCTCGAGAGACAGCAACACCAACAACCAACTGTGAAGATGCGTTGGACATTTGCAGTTGTTATAGAAATTGGAGGCAATGACTGGAGCTTGCTCCCTCATACCTCTAAAATGGAAGTGCCTATTTGCTACCTTCTGCCTTGAAGCTAACAAAAAGGAGTAGTTGAGATGGCTGCTCTCTGACAATGTGGATATCAAGATTCAGGAAGCTTCGTGCAGTTTTATATTTAAGTTCTCCAAAAACACATTTTTGGAGAAACTCTCAGAAAACGTTCTCAGTATTAGAAATGTATGTTCCCTGCCCATTTCTTCCATATGGTGCTGTTGAGACCAGAAGTGCCTGGATAAAGCCTCACACGGGGTACTCCTGGGTGCTGGCAGTCAAGGGCAAAACAGGGAACATTGGCATGCGATCGTGCACTATTGTGGTATGGTTGGGATTTTACTGTAGACAATTTATGTGCTGTAAGCTCCTTTTGTGAAGGGAGTTAAGACTTTTATTTAGATCTTATAGTGAAGATGTTTCGACATCTAAAGTTTAAGCTACCATTTATATGACATGAAGGTTACTCGATGGTGTCCGTTGCCTAATCAGAAGTATCCATGTGATGCAAATTAGCAGCTGCTCATACATAAGTCATGAGTTCAAAGAGTCATTGCGATCCTGTATCAATACAACTATCAATAGTGGTAATAAAAATTATTCAGACAAAGCCTCTTAAGGCACTGCTGGATTTAGCTATGCAGGAAGAAAGGGAATGTGCCTCTCCCTGGAGAAATGATAACCTGGAGCTATGTTGTGCTTAGAGAAGGGGAAAAAATGGCAACAAGCTTATATTCCTGCTGAGGAAATGGGTATGACTTGATCTGAAAATGTACGTGTATATGTACATTAAAGCATCTTTCTATAGGTGATTTGCTGTACTGCTACAACTATCAAGTGATAATTTCACAAAGAGGTCATATTTCAGAGTTTGGTCCCAGTAGACCAATAATCATGATCTTTCCTGCTCTTTGAAAGCTTGCCTCCTGAGCCTTCATGTTACTCTAGACTAAATCTGTGAACCGTTACAATATTAAAAACCAAAGCTGATATGATAAGACCTTAATGAAGTGTTCAAATAGGAGTTAATTAGACAGCCTCATACACTCTTTGGTCAGGATTGTGTCCATCTTGGTGGTCCCAGGTACAAGGCAAGACCCATGCAACAGCATGAGAATTTAAAGTTGGAATAGATATAATCGATCAGTAAAGATCAGAGGGATGGATCTGAGAAAGGGAAAGCTTGTGTTGCCAGCTCCTCCTTGAACGCAGCTTCCTTTCCCATCCTTTGCAAACTGGAAGCACCACAGGTCCCAGCGTGCACAGCTTGCTGGGAGGGCTCTTTCAGCAATGCAAAGCACTGAACAGGAGACCCCAACAGGAGGCTGCTAGCATAAAATTTATTGAGGGTTTGTTGCCATGCTTGTTATAAACAAGCAAGCCTGGCTCCTGTTATCCCTGCATGCTTTTCTAGGTGAGATTTTCCCTGGGTGTCTCAGAGCAAAGTGGTATCAAATCCTCACCTGGAACCAGTGGTGGGAACTGCTGGAGAAAGCAGCACTACCAGTGCCTGGGTCACCTGAGGACTTGTGAGGGTCAGAGAGACATCAACTGGATGAAAGCTGTGTGCCCTGCCTTGTGTCTCTAAATGTTACGCTCATGTTTAGATAACTCACAGGTCAGTTGTTCTTCTATTTTGAGCATGCAGCAAACCATGCTGAGACAGCTTGTAAAGCATGTGACTGATTTCCCATTTTTTTTTTCCACTCCTCTCTTCCTGCTGCTGCTGCTTTCCACGGTGCATGGCTTCCCGTGGCAACTAGGAATGCTGAGAAAATAAGCAGAAAGTAATGGCTTCTGCCTGTGTTCTGGCTGTGTTTTGGGGTGCAAGGCAAACACTTCCCATTCCCTGCTTTGGCAGAGAGCTCCAACTGTAGCTGCAGCTCTGCAGCAGGGGAGTGGAGGAGGGGAACTGGAGAACCAATTCCTAGGAGCGCATGTACTGCTTCAGACCTTTTCTACCTTCTTTGTAACCTCTGTCTTCCAGCCGTGGCTGCCTGCTTGCATTAATTACTCCTTGCTCCCTAGATGCACTCACTTCAAGTTACCTGTAGGGTTCAGAGTGCAGAAACCAACTGACCAGGGTTGAAAGCAATTAACAAACAGGTTATTTTAAATTAATGACTTCTTTTCACCAGCTGTCCAAAGCTGTTTTTTCTTTTTCTTGCCTTGTTCATTTTGAACTCAGTGAAAAGAGGAATTGGAATTCCTTTTGCTGTTGTGATGCCTTTTGCCCTTTCTTTTGTTAGTTCAATACTAAGCACTTCCAGCTTTAGATTTAAAAGGAGTGTAGAAATACACAGAGTACCTAAACGAACCCTAATGGTATAGGATATTGAGAAAGAGTGGTTCTTTTCTTCTACTAGCTGTCTCTCACTAGGTCAAGAGGGGTTTCTTTGTGAATGGCATATTGAGATGCCAGTGCCTTCTTGCTGTGTTGTCTTGCTATCGTTCCTTCCATCTACACTCTTATGCTTTGTGGTATGGACCCTCACTGATTTCCTTACAGCTTTGCTGGGAGCTGGATTTGTATCCATCTACCCTCAAAATGCAAGGAAGCATATAATGCTGACATTTAATACTGTAAGAAGCCTTCTCTTTTCTGTGGGCTTTAAGTTTAGGCCTATCCCACCTGTGAGAACAGCATGAGAAGGAACTCATGCCAGTCAAAATACAATTGTTTTAGGTGTCCAACTTAACTCCCTAATAAGCATTCTTACGTAGCTTCAAGCCATTAAACCCCACTGTGTCAGGCTGTTTCTCTGGTAGGACTGTATGAGATCATCCTGTTGACTCATTGATCTCAGCCTTGGGAAATGTTTTCCAACAGTTTAGCTCAGGTCTACCTCTGAATTCTTATTCCACAAGCTCTACCACTTTTTGCCATGCTAAACCAGTTTTCTCCTACTTCAGTGCATCTCTTTAGAGGCATCTACATTGTTATGCTTTTCACAGCTGTAGTGCTAGCCAGACAGAACCTCTGGGGTACAGCTGGGCATGTGACAGCAGTTCTGTCTGGGGAAATAATTGCCCCATTGATGCTGACCCCAGCTCAGACTGTGTAGTGCTCAGGGTCCAGGTTGCGGTTGCTTTTGGTGCATAAGCAGGCAGGTTTGCCTAGCCTACCTTCAATAATCAATTATTTTGTCTCACCTTCTTAAATTGCTCTGTGTGCTTTACCAGAGAATTTCTGTTTCTTGCCTTTTGTCAGCTTTTCATCTTCGCTGGTTAGATCTGCTAACTCTCCCAGTTATTCTGTGGCTGTTTTGTATGAACTCCCTCCAAATTGCTGCTAGTTTTTGTTTACACAAAGCACAGAATTGAGCTTTTTTTTTTCTTCTTTTTTTTTTTTTTTCCATAGTAGAATGCACCCGATCAGTACAGATAAAAACCATTACTTTCCTGTTACTTGCTGTCTCTGCATATGCAGCCTAAAATTGTAGTGACCTTTTTTGCTGTCAGACTGCATTGTGGGCTCCTGTCTAATTTACTATCTGCTACTGACCCTCAGTCTCCTGCCCACTGCTGCTTTCTGGGTTTGTTCTGGAGTGTGTTTTCTATTTTGTTGTAAACTATGGTTTCTTCTGAGTTGAATTTCATTTTGCAATTTTTCT